TGTAAATATGTGCGTCAAATGAGGTTCATTTGTAAAGTCTTTTTACACCCACCCGACAACCAACTGCTATGAAATACTACTCTCCGATTATCAATTTGTATTTAATGGTGAATGTAGTCTGACGCTATGACCAATATTTATCAATTAAGTTTCAGTGGGGGGTAGGGGGGGGGGTAGAAAAAAACTAAAGGAATTAAGTTTTTTATCCGACATCGATCTTTTGACGTCGTCCCTAACATGAATTTGTTTTCACCCAATGCGTGATAGCGCGTATATACAACATAACAGAGAGCCAGGTGGCGCGTGATGTTGTGTAACACGTTGCTTTAAGTCGGGGGATAACATATCTGGATTTGTGTCTACGCTATACTGGTACCAGAACCATATAATAGATAAGCGTTTGTTTTCGACCGACACTGAGCATCGCGGATTAACACGACACCTATGATAAGAATCGACGTGAACTAAAAAACGTCGTGATGTGGGATTTTAGTTTCCACCAAGTTACCCAATGAAAACCTCAGGTGAATTTCGTTTATTATGTTTATGTGGACATAAAATGGTTGGATTTACGTAAAGAAAGACGATGCTACTAATACCATTATTATGACATCACTAAAATTCAGTGGATTTTTGTTTATTTATTAGTTTACAATAAAATATTGAAAGTTATTGTCTGTCATCTCCTGGTTTTAATAACACATTTATTTCTGTATCTGATAAGTCACTTTCAATATCACACATAAGTAGTGGTAGCCTAGTGGTTATCACATCAGACTCATGATCAGTATACCTAAGTTCAAATCTTACCACAGGCTGAACATCAAAAGGGTCGACCCCCTACCCAGGGTGAGTGTGCCACAGACTCAATGGGAAGGCCAATTCCACTGGACGAGATTCATTCACTAACGAATGCGACTTTGGGGGAACCTTGGTTTAAGGTCCGCAGGTGCTTGTGTTCGACCGAGCCTGGTTGACGCCAGGATAGCGCATTAAACTGCCATTTGATAGTCCCATGAATATGAATATGACTTCTGTGGCAAAAATGCAAAGATGTGTCAGCACTTACAATTTGCACATACAAAAAAAAAGTCAGGAGAGACAACAGTGACTTTCAATGTCCAAAACTGCCGCCTGGCACAATAAAAAAAAATAAGTACAATTTTCTCTCAACAAAAACATCGATAATTTAAAATTATTCTATGAAAGTTGTATCCACCGAGAATTTAAAATTATAGCCGTCTGTCTGAATTAAAATGACGAGATACTGGCACAGGTGGTGGTGTCAATTCGTATATGCATTCCTTCATTTAAGATAGACTGGAAAGATTCTCTGTGGTTAAAAACAATGTCAGTGCCTTATTTATAGAAAGCCGAAAACCACCATTTCAGAGTTTGTAGCCAGCCTTCTCAACATTCGTTCAAAATTTATAAAGAAATTATATTGATGGGTATTTTAAATTTTGAGTATATTAATTTATAAAGTTCCAGTAATCAGCTAATTTCAATGCTGATCACTGTTCCTACACGTGTTCCCAGCTTGTCCAATACTGTTATTGGTCACATTTATGCAAATTATCATTCACATACAATACATGCTTGGAAATACCAACAATGACAAATAGAAAAAAAATGGTTGTATTCAGAGATTTCAAATCATACAATTGCGAAGTGTTCGACATGACTTACAGAATATTTCATGACAGTCAGTTTATCAAATTAATGACACCAGTGCAGAATTTGTCTTGTTCTCTTGCGTACAGGCGTATGTGATTTGCATTCAAAGACCACCAAAGCAAAATCAAACAAAACTCTGTAGATCACGAAAATCAATTAATACAAAACCTAAATTATACGCAAAGGTAATTACAAGCCATTACGAGTCAGGTGCTGTTTCTAGGTTTAAATCATACAGAAGCATTCTTATTAGTGTACTTATCATTTCCAAATAATCTTACTATACAAACCTGTTGGATGTGAACCATAATATTTCGAGCTGAAATGGGACGTAATCAATGCCGAGAAACAAAACAATCACCAATTTTACAGTGTGCACGCACTCTTACAGATCCAGTTGAAGTCTTTCAAAGTTTCAATGATCATTTCGTTAATGTGGGTGAGAAATTGACTAAAACAATTCCGATTACATCTCTGGACCGCCTCCAGTGCAAAGCTGTTTCCTTCAATCAGTTACTGTAACCATGGAGGTAATAAGAATTCTTATTACCTCCATGCTGTAACATACGTATGTAGTCTTCTAAACAATCGTGTGGCAGAGATACTCTTTCACCAAATCTTCTAATAGATGCTGTATATATTATTGATCATCCCTTGACTTATATTTATAAGCTGACACTAGTGAATGGTAAATTTTCCAATGCCTTGAAATTAGTTAAGGTGATGCCCGTTTTCAAAAAAGGTGAAGAACGCGATTTACAGAATTATATCTCTATTTTACGCTCATTCAGTAAAGTCATGGAGAAAATAGTTAACAATCGAATTATTAAGTTTTTTGACAAGTTCAATATATTATTCAAATACCTATATAGTTTCAGAAAAAATACAATCTGAAGTTAGCACTCATCAATTTAGTAAATTCCTTATCACGTCAAATGTACCAATGTAATTTAACACGAGGCCTATCTGTCGACTTTAGAAAAGCATTTGATACTATTGATCACAATATCTTATTTGCCAAGCTCGAACATTAGAGGCATTTGTCTTCGAATCAATGGTTAAATGACTATCTACAGCATCTATTACAGTTCATTTCAATGAGCGCTCTTCTCAAGAATCACGTATTAGGTACGGATCGGAGTTACTCAGGGTTCGTTCTTGTGACTTACTCTACCTTACTCTCATAATAATGATCTTTTGAACTAAATTTTTCAATTTTCGTTTGTTTGGTGACGATTCAAATCTGTTTCATACATATCCTGGGCAAGCCATTACATTTAATCTTGATGAGGTCAGCTTTTATTTAACGAATTTGTTGCCATGGTGCAATGATAACAAATTAAAAAGCAAATCGACCAATTATATAATATTTAGAGTTAAGAGAAAAAGTTAATTGGTCTGGATCGATTATTATTAGGAGTGACTATATAGATGAAGTTGATATAGCTCCATTTCATGGATACTTATTGACAAATTTCTTAGTTAAACTAATCATATAACTCACGTGAACAAAATCATCAGGCATTTTTTTTTTCAAATCAGACACATCCACATTACGCACATTAATTACTGTATATTACTCGTTCACTCAACTTCACCATACTTCCGGTCTGGATATCTGGGGGAAGGCGTTCTCGTCACATTTAAATCGGGGGGGGGGGGTCGTCACCTGCGCACGCGCTGGAATTGAGTCCCAAGCGACGATAACAACACACGCT